AACATACAGTTTCTTTGAAGATACAGGAATTTTTCAGTAGACTATTTTCATATGATTGACTTAAAACTTTCAAGAATTTAGGAATACTACCTGACTTCTTTAGTTCCAAGAACTCTGAATGTCTGTTGCTGTGGCACAGAAGGGAATTTTGTTTACTTTTTTTTTTCAATTATTTCAAACCTAACCCACCAAGGTTTAACGGTGGAGAATCCATACACTATCTTCGTTTAATTAAGGGTGTCCAAGGGTGTTTCTTATTCCCAGCCAGCACCTCATCTCTTTCAGTAGTTCTGGTTTGTAATTCTGACTCATCCAAGTCTTCTCAGAGCAAAACTGTCTCCAGTTCCCTTTAATTGTTTCTCAACAAGAAACACTTTTGTCACTCTAACATAATGAGGATTTTTAAACATACTTTAGCAAGGAATACAAACCAGTGGTGCACAGAAGGATCCAGCATGCTCACTTTCCATACTCAGCATTTTACCTTAGCCCTCTGCTGTCCCCAGAGAAAAGTGAGCAGGAGAAAGTGACACACAGCCAGTCCTCAGTGGGGGGTCAGCCTACTTTGGAGAATTTTCCTGGCTTTTTTGAACATCACAAGTTGTGAAGACAGAGAGGCATGTAGCTCAATGCTACACCTGTGCGGCCTAATTGCCTTGAGTGTCAAATGTAAAACCAACTGACTTTCCCTCCAGCAGAGGCCTGTGATAGCTTTTCAAAAGAAGTAGAATTGATGATGCTTATTCTACCTAAAATAATCGTCATTATTATTATTTCAAGGGCCATGTATTAGTCCATTTTATTTTCACAGTAAAAACTTACTTTAAAATTCTGATGAATAAAACTGGAAATTTAAAGACCCATCCAGCCCCAAACCAAATTAATTCATTCAATGAACATATGAATTGAAACTACTATATTCCCTGAAAGGTTCATGGCCGAGAAAAGAATCAATCAGTATGCATAATTAAATGTGAGGTAGTAAGTGGTTTAAAATAAGACATGCACATGGTGCCTGAGGGTGACCAATTTGTATACATTTGAGTCCTAGACATGTTTTCACTGCCCAAAAATATGGAAACATTTTTATTTGCCTATTGTACTAATCTAAATTAAGTGATGTTCCTCGAGGATAGATCATGTGTGGGTTTTATAAATTTTTGAGACATGCAGAGATCTGAAAATATTCTCTCAAGGACATATGTCTACTCAGGTTGGAGTTTAGCAACTCATGCTTTAAAAAATTAAACAAACAACTTAGAATAAATTAATTTGAAAACTGACAGGATATATCAAATCTTGGCTTTCTGTTTTTATACCACGATTTTTACTATGGTATTCAAAATAGCTATTCTTTTTCTTCCTTCCTACCATGGGGGGATATCCTACAACTTTTCCTCAAACAATTAATCATATAACATTTATTCGATACATGTAAAATTGTGCTGCTCTAGAATTGTTCTGTCAAAGATACATATGCTTATAATGTATAGTGAAATGGCAAGTGAAAATGAAATTTATTGCGGAAAATTAAACCTAACCCTAGGCTAGATTTTATCCTGATGAATACTTAAAAGAAATAGAAAATTGGAGTTACTTTTAAGGGGGAAAATGATTCTTTTATGGGAAAAATGTTAATGAGTTTTAAGGCAATAAAAATGCCTACTACTTGACTTGGTGTAAATATCCTTTCTTGCATCTTTCCTCTCCTTAAAACAACCATACAATAAAAACAGCAAATAATTTGCTTGCATTATTAATATGCATCCTCAGTTTAATTTTAAGTTTCTGCCTATTGCTGTCAGGCTCTGATGAGAAGAAAAATTAACCAATAAGAGAAAAATTCTTCTCGGAAAGACAATAGTGCCAGCATGGAGACTAAAAGTGATGTCTACATTGAAGTTATTTTGTGTACAAGCTTTAGGATCTTGTCGAGTATACGGCAGTGGAGTCCATGGAGAGCCAGAGATATAAGTTGATCTGATTACTTTATAGTTATTGTATTTCATACTCACAGCTATATTAGCAAGGGTGATGTCTGGCAAGAGCTGAAGCTAAAGACCTGGATGTCAACACATTAAAATACAATGCCTTACATTAATCCCTTCTTATAAAGCCTTACTTAAGACCTATGCTAAAAATGCTTCTTTCAATACATGTTCACAGGGGGAAAGTGATAGAATATAGAATTAGCTATAAATTTAAGTTGTGGTGCAGACAATGAATTACAGAGCACAAGGACCAGAAGCCCCATGGCCCCTGCCAACAAAATGCACTCTTTTGAAAATAATGAGTTTCATCCAGGGATGATTAAAGCCAGAGCCAGTCTAGTCATTTAACGATAGCTCACTGTCTCATTGCAAGCTCTACCTCTATTTCAGTTTGCAGAAAATCCTGCCTTTAAAAATAGTACTGTTTTCAAGAAGTAATTCCAGTTTCTTGTTAATTATACAATATACTATGGAACCAAACATGATGTCAAATAGCCAGTATGGGTATAATCTGGCTGGAGAATTAACTGTCAAATATTTAAGGCATGAATTATATATTTGAGTTCTATCTACAAGGCATTCTGCTGTGTAAATCCTCAATAAGACTGCAGCATCATCCTACCCTGTACTCATGTTCTGTATGATGCCAAAGAAATCTCAAAAAAGCTTCTGAGATTGGAAATATTCCAAAACGTTGATTCTCCCCAAAACAGATTAATTTCTGAAGATTATGGTCTTAATTTTCCCAGTCCATTCAGAAATAAATGCCTTTGATTTCAATGACAGAGAATAAATTCTACTGTAAAAACAGATGGAGAAAAGGGCTAAATTGGCAGATCTGTTTTAAGAGAACATCACTGAAAGGAGCAGCACAACATTATTAATAAGTTACTGAAAATGGAAATAAAATCTTTAAGTTTATGTCATTTAAAAATTCTTACAAAGTAAAATTTCTGATTGTGGAACACATACCATGGAAGAGCTTAGTAAAAAATATGTAAAACTATACAAAGGATCTGAAGAAGAAAAAACATTCACGTTATATCTTGTTACCTATACCTTCTCCAAAAGACAATCACTTCCATGAGTATTTATGTAACACTCTATTCCCCCTTACCATGACATTATTTTAATTAGATATCATGACATTTACATTTAGTTGTATCAAAAAATAATTTTCCTGAAAAAAATATTTTATTTAAAATTACAAACAGAAAACCTGTCTTATATGGACTTATATAGGTTGAATATACACCAATATCATTAGACACATTTATGAAGTGCGTTTGTGATGAAACTGGAAATTAAACCAATGATTCTTCACTTTTAAGGATTAGAGGATTATGACTTCTAAAATCCAGATGACAGCCCGTCAACAGAGATTTTAGAAGAAATCCAAACCCCCAGGCTGTCATTGAAGACTTTAGGGATGGATTGATTTTCTTTTCTTTTTAATTGAGTTTATTGGTACAGTTTAGGTATACAGTACAGTTACATTCATTACTGGGATCTTATACCCTTGCGTGACAGGTCTTGGTTCTCATTTTCTATAGAGAGAATTCATTAACATTGTAGTACTGTGCTGCTCCAGAAAAGCCACACTCAGGAGGGTGACACTGAGGCTCCAAAGGCTTCTTCTGACCTCTCTTTGCCTCTCCTGAGGAAGATTCCCCTGTGCTTGTGAAGGTGGACATTGGTGACTATGTCCCAGAGACGCCACCTGAAGTAGGAGGGTCTCTGGTGTGGAACACTGCCACCATGACCCACCCTGTGTTCGCATACAGGGAGACAAGGGGATGTTGGGAGAGTGACACATTCACATGCTGCTGACATTTTAGTCCTAGCTTATCTTTTGACATGGTATAAAGGTAGACATTCAGGCAGAATCTAGAAGAACACCTGCAGATGTCTCTGCAGCCCAGTGACCTTTTAGATCAAAGAATTTAGATACATAAACAGTAATGATCTGGAAGTCTCACCAGATATATACAAGAAATGCTGTTCATTTAATATTCACCTAGTTGCTACTTAGCACCAACAGTTCCAACTTTTTAGACAAGAACTCATACAAAAGTTTTATTCTCCAGATGCTGCTAGAAGAACAAGAATGTAGATTCATAAAGTGAGTAAAACACCACCTGATTGGAAAACATTAACCTTTTGACAAGTGATAGTCACAATATTTGAAACACTACAAGCACACAGGGAAAAGTGGACTTACTACACTAAAAGATAGCCTAGATAAATCATCCTGTGAATGATATGTGTAACGTATCATTTCACAAACTTGTTGACTTTGATTTTGATATGCACCCTTCATTTGGCTTTCATTTGAGCATGTGTAATGTGCTTATTAGACAAGAAGCTGTCATTTAATGTGCCTCCAGAAGTAACATCCTGTAATATTATAATTAATGATTCCTAAAATGAAAATGCTCTAGAGCCATGTGAAAGCGGCTGGGTCATTAGACATGATCTCAATCCTCCCTCCTGCTCATGGATTCAGAACAGTAGTCTGCACAAATAGACACCATTTTAACTCATGCTAGGATCTACCGGCCTAAGTTGGATGCTGAACCATAGGATCTGAGTGTCCATATGAGGTGGTGGATCCATTGTTAATCACCAAATCTTGACAAGTCCGTGAACGACATGGCAACTGCCACATAACCCCATTGCACCTGAACACCTGATCAGTATGAGCAAAGGTGAAAGTTATTGAACATAGCAAACATTTAAAATTCCAAAAGACAAGTAAAGTGTCTATCCAAGTGGGAATCAAGCTTCCTACAGTGGGCTAAACATCACTAAATTTAGATCTAATCTCTAGTGATAATCACACCTCCAATTACATTAATCAAGATGCTTTCATCAAATCAACCTCATCATTTTTTTATTTTAGTAAAGGCAAAATTTTAAGCACAAATGTTCCGAAACAACATTTTAGAAAACATAACAAAACCGATATTAGAAACGTAAAATTCACTCTGCTTTTGAAGCAACACTAACCTTCTGTTCCAAAAGCAATGTGTTTGTAGGGATTGCTGCAAAAACCTTGTAGCTGGACTTGGTCTTGTATTGCTAGAATGGGCAATGGGAAAGCAAGAGTGGAAATGTAAAAGGAGAAGAATACAGTATTGTTTTAGACAGTTCCACCTAGTTAAAGGACATGCTATCAAATGAAGAAAAGAGCAGTTATGCTTCAGCAATTTGTTTCTGACCAAAAAATTAGCTCACCATGTTAATATTGTATTAGAGTAAGAAGCAAAGAACTAGCACAGTAAAATATCAGCCTAGAGATCAGAGGCAATTATATGCTATCTAGTTTCAAAATTTAAAAACATCAATTTTTACAAAGTTATGCATAAATTTCTCATTACCTGTACATCCTCACAGAACTAGTCTAATCAGAAAAGAAGGTGGGGATTTTTTTGGCTTCGCCCTCAAAGGACTATTTCTTTTTGTACTATTGTAATTAACAAATATCATTCCAATAAGTTTAATCAATCTCTTGACACATTTTTGCATCAGTCATAAAAACAAAGATCAAAATACATAACGTTCAGCAGTTTTTTTTTTACAAGCAGTAAGTGTGGTCAATAATTTTAATTGTGTCAGCAACTTAGCTCTAAAATGGAAAAAGGAGTATAAGCCTATGATTTTAAGCTCAGTTTTAAACCTCATTATTATCTCTTGCATTTTCTAATATAGTGATACTAATAAAGTAAATAGTAAAAATTCCTGAATTTTAAGTAAAACTCAGGAAGAGTTCAGTTTTAGAGATAATTTGGGAAAACTAAGCACAAGGGCATTGTAGAAATCACGATAAAATGCATAATCAAAAATTTCTGTTACTCTTGGTCTCAAACTGATTAACCAAGTTCAAGGCTCCTAGCACATCCAACACCCTTGATTTCGGCAGCCTGCCCAGTGGCTGCAATCCAGCAAGGAAACTGACACAGAACGTCAGGCCGTCTCCATTCCTTGGAAAGGAAACCAAAGGATGTCCCAGAGAAGACAGCTTGATCAACCAAAATAATGTAGAGCTTTATGAATGTTAAGTGTAATGAGATTTAGAGGCTGACACATTCATTTTCTCAGGAAAAAGGTGAAGTAGAAGGAAGTGAAAATGCCAAGGGAGAAAGTTGGCTTCCACCTACAAACAGAACACTTTCTCTCCTTTCGCTTTTCTTTTTCTCTCTATCTACAGTGTTAAATAAAGCAGCAATCTCAGGCATGAAAGCCAGCATAAGATGACACAGAAAGCCACCTTAGTTTGATTATCACACAACAGATATGCTCACGCATATACACTCCCAAATATATTCAAATGTTCACATGCACACACTCACAAATGCATATGTACTCTCACACACACACAGGCTGACACACTTGGCAAAACTTGCACAAAATCTCAGAAGCCACACTTTCTTCCCAAGGAAGAAACTCTGAGTATTTACCTATCTTCTATTTTCTCTCCTCCAAATGACTCTTGGCCCTCACAAGGAGCAGCTCTGTGACTTGTGCAAGTCTCTCCACAATTCTAGCTCCTTCTACACTCCCCTCAACGGCACGACGGACAAGTACGAGGTAAAGTCTCCAACCCCTTCAAGCCCAACTCGTCTACATTGCCTCTGCAGTGCTGTGGTCTTCAGACAACAATAAAACATTGCATCTTTATAGGCATAAAATTTATTTTGCCCATTTGTCACTGGGAAAATTACATACTTCATACTTGCTTCATTTAAATTTATGTTAGGAAAAGCAGGAGTCAAGCAATGTGCCCCAGGCTTTTGCTAGTGACTTCATTCAATTCCATCTTATCAGATTTGCTTTGTCATTATAAACTATGATGAAAAGATATTTCTATTATTTTGTGGGCCATTTTGTTTAGGCTTATCATTTTTATCTCCATTCGTGTCACACACGAATGATATGGAGCTCTTGTCCCCAGGTTCTGCCAATCTGGTAGACACTAATCCATCCTGTAAGTCTATTCAGATATGACCAGTTCAAACAATGGATTCATTCAGCAAATATTTACTGAGTGGCTACTATATGACACACACTAATCCTCTAAGACACATCTACCCTTTGCTTTTCAGTCTGAAAATCATGGTTATGGCCCCAGAGGTACGTTTTTGGATTCACTCTTTTTCCTCTGAGTTCTCTTAATCACACTGTTGAATCCAAACATAGAGGGTTTTATTCTAATTTAGAACACATCAGTTTCCCACCTTGAATTAAAATTATGGACCATTCTAGCGGAGATGATTTCATGTGACTTGCATTGTAGGCTGTGGAATGACATACTGGAATCACCGCTGGATGATCATGGCAGGGAGAAGGTTGAAGGTGCATCTGGCAAGCTATTTAAGATGTCTTGTAACTCTCCAATGTGTAATCTATGCTTTCAGGTGAGATTCAATAAATATCTCTCAAATACTCACTACCTAGTGCTAGGCAAATTTTACGTTTAGGATTATGCTTTAAGTTTGAAAAGAAAATAACATTTTGATGAGAATGAGCTATTCCAACATGGCTAAGAAGAGGAGGAATCACACTGGAGAGTCTTAGAAAAAAAACAACTTAAAAATACAGGTAATTGGAAGAAGCGGCGGGACATATGCCTTGATGCAAAAAATCAAGGTGAAAGAGACTTGTAGATAAAAAAAAAAAAAAACACATGCATGGGAGTTTAAAAGAGGCCACGCAGTCCAACCAACATAGGAACCACCTTTCCAAGGTCCCAAGTAGCTAGCGGGATCCAAGCAGCATGGCAGAGTCAAACCACACAGAGCAGACTTGGAGTATACAGCCCCTCACCTCACTGCCTCCCTCCAAACAGAGGACGCTGCAGCCTGGCAACATTTTTCACCAGCACATTCCAAGGGCCAGTGACCAGGGAGCTGCTCTCTCCCCTGACCTGCCCATCCACTCTTAGACTCTGAGCAGGTAACAAAGGACCAACTGCTGTCTATGTTGGAAGTCTTTAGGAGTAGACCCAGAATACACCTGCATCACCACTGGGAACCTGCAGGCTATCACAAGCAAACCGGGACATTCTTCCAGCACACAGAGGAAAGAAGCACTGGTCTGATTTCAGCCCATACTAGCACCCAGGGCTCTCTTGAGCCTACACTGCTCTCTCACTACCCTGCTCCAATCCTAGACCCATCACGGTCTCTGTCTGGCACCTAACTCCAGTCCCCACCACCCGCCACAACTGGGGTTTGCACAGGGTGTTCCAGGCACCCTGGACCCAGAAGTTTCCACCCTGCAGTTAATGGTGGGTGAGTGACTCAGGCGTAGCCACGTCTGAGGACACAGCTGTGCAGGGCTGGAAGGACAGCATCGTAGGAAGGGCTGGGTGCTTGAATGCTGGTCACAGAATAGGCCCTTGTTCACTTTACACTGCCAGGTTCCCAGAGCGGATGAGGGAAGGACAGTCATAGGAGACTGCCACCAGCTGGAGAGCAGGCTGGACAGAAATCCAGCTGAGAGGCAGGGGCTGGGTGATGACAAACTGGGCTCCTGAAGCCAAAACTCAGTTTTAGCTGGAGCCACACAGGAAGCTCACTCTGGTGCCTTGGTCTCATGTTGGCAGTCCACTATGCCCAGCACAGTTCCGGGCACAGACTGCCACCTTAAAGACATGCCCTACGTGGAGCTCTGCTCCTTAACAGGAGCCTCAGGAAAGAAGCTACATATCCAAAACAGTTGAAAATTCTTTTTCCATTCTTTATTGGATTGTATCATTTTTTTCATTTTTCATTGCACTCTTAATTTTTTTATTTTTTTGTTTTTGTTTTTCACTCTTTGCTGTTTCACCTTCTATACATTTTCCCCCACACTTTTATCCCATTATTTTACATTATGCTTTTTAGAAGTGTGTCTGTGTATCTGTGCCTTGCTTACTCTGACTTTTCTCTTTTGTTCCTCCTCCAATATTGTATATATAGGGTGAAGAAATTCTCCCGTTTATTTGTATTCCTTCCTACTGTTACCCATGTCTCTTAGCCTAACCATTTTCTCCCGTATTTTATTCACTCTGTTTTCCTTTTTTCTTCTCTCCACTTTTTCAACTGTTTCTGTTCAACTTCTTCTATAATATTTATATCAGTCAAAGAATCTTTTCCCATATCCATTTATCACTACCAATTTTGTACAGTTTCCCTGTTGTCCCTAAGTATATAACAACATACCATAACATCAATAAGACCCTCTGCCCGCTCCTATTTTTTCCTTCCTATACCACTGAGCAGAGGACTTAAAATTTTGTCTCCTTTTTTCCTATTTCTCTTCTCTTCCCTCCTTTGACATTACCTGATCCACCAACTCCCTGGGCATTAGATAAGTGATTCTATAAAATTACTGTTGAATGATGTTTTTCACCAGTAGGGGAAATATAGCTATCACATATAGTGCGTATTAATGGTGAGTCAAGACTTGGGTGGTTATGATGCTTAGAATATAGCAGTGCATTTCTTCTCTAGGCTAAAGAGGGACCCAAAACAGGGTCTCATGTTATGTTATTTCTATCCCTGATAGATTCCACTGCAATGGATTAGCCTATTTTTCTTGCAGTTGAATTGATTCCATAGGAATGAATAGTCCTGACTCAGTGGACAACTGAGCACCAGTGAACTTGTCTGCCTATCCCACCATTATACCCCGCGAGAGGGGCAGCAAGAGTTCCTAGCCCAAGAGCCTACACTGGATCAGACTCTGCAAGAATGGCTGCAGCCTGGCAGAAAGAGGGCCTGAGTCTGAGTTAGCTTCAGTGTTGCGGTAAAGGGAGCACAGGAGTTACTAGGCTGTGAGCACTCAGACTCTCTGACAGAGAAGCTACCTGGGAATCACATGCACATCGTCTCACTGGAATATCTCATTTGTGTTCCCATCAGACACATTATTGGTTTAAGTTTTTGTGTTTCTTGATTTATTTAATGACATGGGGTTATGTTGTGTTCTTTTATGATTTCATGTATTTATTAAGTTGTTACTCTTGTGTATTTATCCACTGGGTCTGATTTAATAGATGTCTAGGTTCTCCCACTCACCTCAGCTCTTTATCTAAT